TGACGTTGGCTGCACGTTACTGAATCCATTCGATCAGTCTCGACGGTCTTTCGGCTTTTCGTGGACTGATTAAATATGTTTGACGAGCTAGAATCATGTTGCCGTGAGTTGGAAACTTGAGTCGATTTCTCGGATGTCCCATGGAACGTAAGGTGTTCCCTATCTTCCCCATCCATGGAGGCCGGCTCCACTGACAATCGACTTTCGAGTTCGACAGCTTGTGTGATGCAGATCATGGCCCTGTCTAGAAGCTCTCTGGACCTTGGATGGAGACTTTCCAAACGCTCGAGCTCCGTTATGAGTGTCGACAGAACGTCTTGTGCAATCATCTGAGAGCCTCTTGGATCAGTCGATTTAGTCGAAAGGGAATGTTCGCCTTGCACATGTTGCAGAAGATCTGTCGTCCTGAACGAGCAGAATGGACAGAAAACAAGCCCGTGCTTCTGCTCCAAGTGACTGCGCAAGTCCTCCAAATTCATCTGTTGTTGGCAGCATATGTCGCATGCAGGATGGTCTTCTTCATGGTCTTCAAGAGCCTCTTCGTCAGGTTCTGAGGCGCCACAAATAGTGCAAACGACCCAATCGTGCATGAACCGCAAATGTGGCTGCATTCGTTCCTCTGGAAGGTGAATTCCACACTCTGGACATCGACTCATTTTGTGTTTGTCGAACATGTGTCTCATGTCGAAGGATGTTTCGGACGGGCATATTGAGCACGTACGTATTTCGTGAATGCCAGTAAGATGAGTGTGAAGCAGCCCTTTCTCTAAGTATATTGTTTCACAGAAGGCGCATTGATCCCAGGCGTGGTAAGGAGAAGACGTAATGTGCGACCATAGTTCTTCGATGGGCGTTTCCGAACCCCATGTCTCGCATTCGAGGCACCATGATAGACCATGTGAAGACCGAAGGTGACCCAACAGGCCACAATGAAAGATGATCTCATCACAGGCATGACATACTGAGTGTGGATGGGCCCTGATGATATGAACAACAGGATTATCGTTGTGACAGTCATCACACCAGTGGAGATGATGCTTGGCCTCCATATGGTCTGTGATGGCATCCACCTGCAAACCATGACAGAACGGGCAGTTGTGGTACTTGCTCAGGTGATCCCCATCCTTTTGTGGGTTGAGCATCTTCGTGCAAAGCTGACAAGTTCGGAAGCCGTGGACTTGGATGCAATGGTTTTCAAGACTTGCCAATGCAAGTCTGCTGCCACATACGTCGCACATTATCTCCCCATGCTCTTTGAGATGATCATTCAAATCTCTGAAAAGCATGACCATGTTGCAGATGTCGCATTGCTCAAAGTCCACTGGAAGGGGGCGGACAACCGCAAAGAAGGGAGGCTTGCTAGGGAAGAATGTTCGCGGGAACTTGTCGTAGTGACTTTGCGCGATGAGCTGAGACTCGCAATCCATCAGACATTCCTTGGCCTGCTCCAAGTGGTAAATTTGAGGCCAACGATTATGTGTGACTCCATTCTGCAGTCTTTTATCTGGGTGGACTGCCAGCGCGGATCTTCTATAAGCCAGTTGGATGTCTCGGCTCTCAAACGGACACTGATCTGGGTCAAGCCCAAGAGCGTCAAAGGGACTGAAAAGCATTATCGGGATGCTTACTCGAGTTTTAGTTTCGCAATTTGAATTCTTTTGGTGTCTTCTTACCCGGCTGTTTAGATCTCAGTTGCGAACACTACAGTTACAACTGACTCGAGAACCTCTAGCCTTTGTTGCACTTCTAGGGAATGGAGCCTTCAGTAACTCAAGCAGCAAAGTTCTGCATGCCATTTATGTGATTCTAAGAGTTTTCAATGCTTCAAGAAACATTTAGGTCTAAGGGAAGCCAAATAACATGAAAGTACTTGGAGTTATGCTTCTCAACTTCTTCAGCTATCAACCCGGTCGGGCTCGGGCAGGGAACTGAGTCGGCAACTCAAGCACGGGCCACAACGGCTCTTTGAACCCTTGTGGCCCGTGCGTACCTTGAGTTGGTTCTTATTTCCAGAGAATCAACATCTGGATCGGTACTTCAGTGATGATACCTACACGACTACTTAGAAAGATGATTCAAAAGTCCTTCGCTCAAGTGTGCGGGCGCAAGCGAACTAGACATCAAGGAGCACGAAGGTCGGATTTGCCCCATTAACAACGTGGCCAACGCCGATTGAGGCGTAAATGCCTCTCTTGTTCGAAAGTGGTATAAGTGCCGAGGTCTATGTTCAAAGGTGTAAACTTCACCGTCCTGGAGCAAGTTATAATTTCCGGCGGGGAATAGCGGCATCCCCCCAGCAGAAGCGTCATTCGAACCCTGTAATGACGCCTTGCATCGCGTGAAAGTACAGAAAGCATGTTTCAATTGTGGGCTCGCCTGATGAAGGAAAGACTTGACGGAGGTCCGTTGGGTCCGAACAGGCTGCAGGGTAAGGGTGTAGGCTTCGGCGACGTCGCCGAGCAAGGAGTTGAATGTGCAGCCTTCACTTACTTACGCCTCTTTCATCAGCAATTTTAACACCTCGCGAACTTAACGTTGAACAAGGGGCGGTATTGGGGTTCAACAGACAGCATATCAAATCAACAGCCTTTTGTCGTAGAACGAGTTCCAAAGCATAACTATTGGTCTCGCAAGCAGCACAGAACTTTGGATTGAGTCTCCCCATGCTATGAGAGTTACCGTATTGTTCCCTTAAATCATATTAGGAAAGGCTCCCAAAGCAGCTTGCCCACCCGTATGTACAAACAGCACATTCTCTCCTCCAATAAACTCCCCCAATTTGACCTTGTCAAGAATCGCACCCACAGCGCGCCCAGAGTAGATTGGATCCGCGACAATTCCCTCCGTCCGACCCAACAGTCTAACAGCTTCAGCTGTCAACTCGCTCCAGCCCGAATGGGTGCCGGCGTTGTATCTGGTGTCCAGCAAAACATCTTCAGGTTTCACAACTCCATCCGCAAGTCCAATGAGCCGAGCAGTTCTCTGGGCAATTTCGAGGATTGAAGCTTCAAGAACGCCGGTCGGCTTGTTGTACGTGTCGATACCAATGACCTTGCGCTCGCGAGTCTTCTTGGCTGGATTGTTGGACGATGAGGACTGCAGGCGATCCGCAAGCTTAAACCCGGCCAGCATTCCACCGAGCGTCCCGCCCGAAGCGACGGGAACGACCACAAAGTCAAAGAAGACGCCAAGGTTCTGCTCCTGCTCCACCACTTCGAAAGCCCAACGTGCAAAGCCCAAGCCACCGTACAGATGAGACGAGGCACCAGAAGAGATGATGTACGGCTTTTGACCATTGGAACGAAGGCTAGCGGCGGCCTCCTCGAGAGTGACGCCTGACGCAGTATACTCCGCTCCAAGGATCTTGTTCACCTGCACATTGCCGCTCACATCGTATGCCTCAGGGTTGAGCTTTGGTGGGTTCTGGGGCACCAACAGTGTTTTGAGACCCAGGCGGTTCCCAACGGCAACCACTTGTCGCATGTGATTGCTCTGCACCCCGCCAGTGGTGACGATGGTGTCGCATCCGTCATTTAAAGCAGAAGGAAACACGTACTCCAGCTTTCGGACCTTGTTGCCTCCCAATCCAATCCCTGATGAGCAGTCTTCCCGCTTAATCCAGACTTGAACCGGAGCGGGGCTGCTTTTTTCAACATGCTTCGACAGGCGTGGCAAGAGATGAAGAGGAGATGGATGATCAAAGAGAAGAGGAACGCGCTCGAAAGACGCCAATGGCTCAGGCAAGTGGACCATGTTGAAGATTGCTATGAAGAAAACTTGGAATGAATTCTGCGGAGTTGGCCAACAGTCAAGAGACATGCGAGGAGAAACGTGAGTTCAGGAAACGAGAAATGAAAGTCCAAGATATTCTTTCGTTGTCTCATCATATCGCTCTTGGGTGACCAATTACAGTGTCCGACGTACTCTTTCGTCGACGTTTCTTCGACGCCCTTCTTTTGTCATATGCTCCATGCCAACTGCATCGTAGCATGCAGATGGCGAGATTGCCTCAACCTATGACGCTGCGGATGATATGATTCAGGTTTGTGAGCGATCTTTCCTGACCTAGGCCCAGGCCGGTTACATTCGGCCTTGTGAAGCATCTGCTGACTTCTCTCGCCGTCTTGGTATTCCGGTCACTGACTCCTATCCCACATGACTTGCATTAGGCGTGTCCGTGGTAGATCAAAGAGGCCTTCGGCTTTCGTCCCGGCTCCGACGGGCTGAATTCGTCAAGGGTTTGTGTCAAATTCAGCTTGCATCATAGGTAGGGCAAGGTGCGGTGCGGGAAATCCGGCTAATCATCCCCGGAGTCGCTGGTCTGCGATTCATGAAACTGCGTTGTCTGTCAACCACGGGGGTTGCCCCGAAAGGGTAGTAGTTTCGATGGAGATCACACGAATGCATAATTAGTAAGGAGCTCAAGCCATTAGCTCCATGCGAGCGCAAACCTTAATCTTTCTTCAGACTCTAGGCCGCTCCATGCACCGACGTGCAGATATCACATTTGATCGTGGGACGCTGAGGCTCCTCATCTGTCCTACCCTTGGACCCCAATGACCCCGGAACTAACGTGGTAACCATAGTGGGAGCTTATTTCCACATGATGCCTTTGCTAGCCGAACTGCGTAACGGTTCGGACCGTGAAAACAAGAACTTGGGCTTCCTGCATAAACCCCTCCTGCTCTTGGCGATTCAAACGGAGTCAGAGTGAAGAGTTCCATGCAGTTTAGATCAGCCAAGACGCAACTACTATGCTGGAACAATTGAAGACCCTAATGGAGCTCTACACACAGCCTCAGCTTTTCTTCAACGGGATCCATGTTTTGCCCATTATTTGGAAGTGACGTCGAATAGTTTTGCGAATGATGTGCGATTTCTTTACTCTCGCTCAAGTTCGTGAAGATAGGTAATGTGCACGTTTAGTCAGTGTTGAGACTTCCTACCTAGCTAGTGACAAGGGAAGATTTGGCTTTTGCAAGCAGACATCAAATAGCCACTCAAATAGCCACTCCAAGGTCCCTTTCCATTCCTCCGGTAGCAATAGAGTCCAAGCGCTGCTCCTGGATCGTCTTGTTGAAGCTCTGATACTTGCTAAGAAACCATTCCTCTGCTGTGACCGACTGCCCATTTATGCCTTGAAAGACGACACTGTCACCAGCCCGTAAGAAGTAGGCCGTGGAGTACCTATCCTGAGACATCTTGTTCCCCTGGGGCAGCACACGATGCATTGCCGACCGGAATCGTCGCTTGGACATGAAACGAAGCGTGTCGGCCACGTTGATGATAGCATGCCCTGGCTTTGGGGTCACGTACTCCCAGTCGTTGGTCGTGGGCGAAACAACCTGTAGGCCAGGCTGTTCGTTGAAGAGAAGGGTGAAAGACCCCACGTCAGTGTGGGCATTGTGGCCCCGGGCAGTCTTGTCTTAGAGTGCATCACTGACGGGATGATGCAAGAAGAAGAGCGTGCTCTTGGAAGGTATATCGTCCGGGTGATACTCCTCAAAACGCTCTTTTCCCTCCAGACCCACTGCATCGGAGAGGCGCGTAAGCAACGTCTTCAATACGAAGTGGGCCGAGAGCTGGAACGTTTTGAACAAGTCAAAGTTTTCTGTCACCACGCCAGGGAGATGGCTATGGTTAAGCAGATGAACGCGACTGATCTGCTTCATGATTAGTGTCTTGTATCCGGACAAAGCCTTCAGTCGGAACGTACCCTCAAAGCTTCAAAACCATCGCGTGTATTCTCGTTGACACCAGACTGAACGCCAGGTGGTTTGTAACTTGAATCGTCAATATGGATCAGACAATTCGTAACGGTGGTAGCCATACCCATGGGCGTCAGAGATGGTGTCGGTTCTCAATTTCTCATCCAACGGCTGGTTGAACCATTGTTTCATAATCTGACCGGCAGACTCATAGTTCTTGAGCATGGAGCCAGAGTCCCAGTCCCTAAGATCAAGGTAAAAGAAGCCGTGATTCTCGCATGCAGACAGCAAGGTCGAAAGTGACTTTTCATCCTTGTTCACAAGAGAACGAAAGTTTAACGTGTGGAGATTGGCTTGCTCCAGGCCAGAGTTGTTGTCGGGAGTTACAGCAGGCATGTTGTTTGTTTGGTAAGGTACGGGTAATTGTAATTGAATTGGTTTGACGTGCGATCAGAGCTGAGAGGATTGTGTGAAGATGGCGTTGTGTATGCGTCAGTCTATTTACCCTCCAAGAGCTTAAATATCAGGTCCAACTGAACGTCAACTTAGATGATTAACAATCCAATTTTTGACAACGATGCACTATCTGGTTGTGGATTTGGTCAGTGTCTATGAGTCTGAAGACGTCAGGAATTTCGCGAGTCATGATCATCCTTCATGTCAAGGTGAGATGCAACCGCTAACGTCAACCTTACTCAAAGTGATTCTAACCATGGGTTGCTCAAGCAATGTAACACTTCGGGCTCTCGGGGGTCGATGACAAATTCATAATCTTACAAGGTTATATGCGTTTCTTTTGTGATCTGTGGTTACGTTGGTCCATCTACTTGGCAACATGGGGTCGGTCCTGCCCTGAAGTTGATCGAGCCCAACAAGGCGCGCAACCATGATCCCGCGGCAAGACAAGATCTTCAGCCGCCAAGCAGAAGGTTGTATTAGCGGCTATGCAGCTGGATGTTCAAGCTGCAATGTGACTATGCGCAACCTCGTTTGATCATTGCGTAATCAATGCTTGGCTTGTCCTTCCGAAGGTTGCATCGATCCCGGGATTCAAACTGCATCAACTCAATCAAGATTAGGCAAAAGTCTTGACAACTCATCATACGGTCGTATCAGTATGGCGATATCATCTCCTTGACTACCGTAATTTATTATGGTTTCTTCTTCGGTGACTTCAATTCTTCCACGATGCCGCCATTGCCGCGTGCAACGGCAACCCAAATCGTCTCGTGAGACATTGAATTTGGCCCTGTCAAAGAAAGCTTATGGGGAATAGAAGACTTGCGTAGCACATCAAAGACTCAGTTACTCAAATCGAAACTCGCAAATCCGGGTTAACCATGAGTTGATGATTAGAATTATGCCATTGGCTTACGATTGTCATTGCTACTGGGGAATTGCAACATGAAAGAAGGAGTGTGTTCATTTCTGCGCTGATAGGTAATGACTGACTATCAAATCAAATTTGCATTGCAATCCCAAATCCCAAATCCCCCAGCAGTGATGTAGCTTAGAACGATGCCCTAAGCTCCTGTGCCATTCCGCCAGATAGAACAGTTTGCTCCTTCTGGATGGCGTGAGGCAACTCATACATCTCATACTTCTTCAGGTACCACTGCTTTGCATCCGACTCTTCTTCATTGCTGTCCTTGAACTCAGTTGAGTCCGTGGCCCGCAAGAAGTAGGAAATAGAGTAGCGATCCTCATTTTGCACACCTCCCAACGGCAGCACGCGATGCAGGGCCGAACGAAATCGCTTTCTGGAAAGAAAGCGGAGTGTGTCACCGACGTTGACAATGGCGTGTCCAGGTCGCGGCTCGACATACGTCCAGGCCTCATCTGCCGGAGAAAATACCTGCAATCCCCACTGCGGCGCAAACAAGAGAGTGAGTGTGCCGATATCTGTGTGCATGTTTTGTCCAACGTTCTTGATGTCTTGACTCCCAGGAGGGTAGTGGAGGAAGTAAAGAGTGCTCTTGGATCGACTGTCATCACGATGACTAGTGTCCAAACGAGCCTGTCCCTTCAGCTCCAAGCCATCAGAGAGACAGTCAAGTAGGAGCTTGAGGATGAAATGGCAAGAAGCAGTGAATTGATCAAAAAGCCGTAGGTTGTCTTGAACAACCGAAGCAAGGGCCCAGCGGCCAGTTAGCTCGTGTCGTCCGATCTGACAAGTTAGTCACAGCTTCCTCTTCCCTTCTGCGGATACATACCTTAAGAGCCTCAAACCCATCGTGATGTCCCTCAACGGAACCTGACTGGTTACCCAAGGCCTTGAAACTAGTTTCACTTAGTCAATGCTGCTTCTGCTTTATTCGAGTGTGATAGAGGCTTATTTGGGAGCCTGGACAACTCACCCATGGGCAAGAGACACTGTGGGAGTCTTGAGCTTGACCTCAGTGGACTGCGAGAACCAGTTCTTGGTGACTTCGTCTATCTCCTTCAAGTCTTTCCAGAACTTCTCAGATCCAGTCGCTTGAAGGTCTAGATAGAAGAAACCGTCTGTTTCGCAAGCCTTGATCAAAGCTTCTAGGGAGTCATGGTCCTTGTCGAAGAGGCTTTCGAACTTGATAGTGCGCAAGTCGGCCTTGGGGACATCCCTGTACAACTCTGAGATTGAGGAAGAGCTCATTTTGACGCAAATTGGGCAATTGTTTTGAAAAGAACTTTGAATGGGGTTGAGTTTCTGCGACGGATGCCCCTTACTCCGGAGGAATCCCTTCATATATGTGCCAGTGTCTAAGGCGCGCAACTTGGCCAAGATTTCTTGGAAGCATCAAGAGGCATTGACAACTCCTGTAATTCCGGCAGTCAATCACAAAAGTCTTTCATTCCGGACTTTAGCACTTGTGAACTTGAGTTGCCGTGTTCTGGGAGCGCACAAAGTTCACCGAGGCAACTCGACCGATCCTAGTTGCATTGGCACTGGAAACGACCTTTGAATGACTCGATGTCTGTATGCAATACAACATCATTTTTGGCGACATTGCCCACCGGCATTCTTTGGCGGCGAAAGGAGAATCTCCGGGGGTCGAATCTTGTACGCGTAACACTCACGATTTTCAGAGGTCGTAGTAACCCCTGCTCATACCGCCACAGGTGCACATGGGCCGGGCCGCCGAATGCAACCATAACTTCGGGGGTTTTGTCCGCCCACCACCTCAGCAGCCCTGCTCTTCTGCGCCCGAAATTTGCCAAGGGCAATGCAAATCGAAGGTTCCGATGGGGATCTGCCCGGAAGCTCGGCGCCAATCTCGTCGCAACCCGAGCAACATATGGCTCAATCTTCGTTCTCCGTCTCCTGCGGATAAAACCTTGCATCCGGAGGTATGACCCTTGCCAATGAGGGGCAGCTACTGCTGATTGTGTCAATGGCCTCAAACTCATAACCGCTTATGCGCTGATCTGCAGTGAGGTGCCCATCTTTGGACTGAGCTTGGTGGAGGAGTATCTCCTGGGCGCATTAACCGCCGCAGGGAGAGAAGAACGACATGGAAACACGGATCACGAGTAAGGACAACCTTTCGCAATGCAATGGTTAGATTATGTAGATTCGACTAGGTTTGATACGTGTGTGCTTCTACTTGCGCAAGTGAGGCAAAGAGATGGCGCCATTTGAGATTGCAACCGCGAGCAGAACCAAAGTCCCTCCCATGAGAGCAGATCCCCCAAAGACTTGCGCGTACAGGAAGTCGCCATTGCCCCTCTCAATGAGTGCACCAGCCAGGGGAGGACCTGTCAGACAAGCGACGGAAACGACAGTGAATACCATTCCTGTTCTCATACCCATTTTCTTCAAGTCCGTTGTCAACCCGGAGCAGGCCGCTGGAAAAACACTCTGAACCCCTCCAGCGAAAGATCCATAGATGATGCAGAACGCAAATAGTCGGCCCTCTGAGTTGACTGAAACCCAGCAATAGAGTAGGAGTCCCGAGAAAAACGTGGTCAAAATCAACGTTCTCATTGGACCAATAAACTTGTCCGACAGCACAGCTAGAAGGATACGTGCTGGTATACCAACTGCATTCATAACAAGCAGAAGCGTTAACGAGGTCGTGGAGGAGACACCAATCACCGTTCGGCCGTACGTCGGGACCTGCAGGGTGTTAGATTCCTGATTAGATGCGGGGAGAGAAGTGCACTTACGTAGTAGAACGCGAAGAAGATTGCCCAGAAGCTGAGAAACATCCCAACGCAAAATAATGCATAAGGAAGTTCTTTGAAACTTGACCATTCAACGATTGGTCCCAATTTCCTTGGAGGCAGTCTCGTTCTAGCCAAAGCGAGAATGATGACTGTGTTGAACAGCATCACGAATCCCATGACCCTGACCGTCCAGCCAAATCCAATTTTAGGTAGTAATTGTTGGGCAATCAGAGGGAAGAATATTCCGCCACTGCCGGCACCCGAGGCGTTTATGGCAATAGCCATCGATCGTCTCTTGACGAAATACGTCGCTAGAAGCGCAATCGTCGGGCAAAACGTCAGTCCATCGCCAAGCCCTGTACAGATTCCTTGGGCGAGAAATAACTGCCAGTACTTTGTCGACAACGACGTCATGAACACTCCAAGAAGTTGAAGGAAGAGTCCGGCCACTAGCACCTTTCGGTAGTGCCCAGCGTCGGTTGCGCGCCCTGAGAAGGTGCCGACGAAAAAGATGAGGAAAATTTGAACTGAGCCGACCCATGAGATTGCGGAGGGGGAAACTTCTAGCGCAGAGACGTAGTAAGACTGGAAGAACCCGAAGGAATTGATGTATCCCCAAGAGTTGAACATGACCAGATGAGCGACGACAGTTTGAGACCACGCCTGGAAGCCTCCGTCCGGAGGAGGCCCCGGGTCGGACGCGTCGTGCTGTGCCGCATCATCGTGGCTTTCGGTGCTGTTGCTGTCGGGAATCGAGCTTGATAGGTTGTTGTCCAGTTGTTGAAGAGGCTTTTCGTTTGCGGTGGCGGCAGTCATTGTTACGGCTGTCCAAAGATTCAGTAACTACAAAAAGAATCGATAACTATTGCTAGACGCATTGTCTGATGCCAAACATCCAGAGAGCCAAAGTCGTGAAATACAGAGGTTCCCCTGACGGGCGGCTCCGATCGAGGAAACTGCATTGGGAACTCAAAGGGCGCGATATTGACATGTTGCCACGGACACTTCCAAGACCGCGTATACCCAATTTCCCCGCCGGATGCAACTCAAGACATACAACGAACGCACTGCCAACACACAAAGCACCATTTGTAAGCTGGTCTCGCTTCGATTGCGACAACAAAAAATGTGATTGCGCCATAGCTGAATCCTAGACAGATCGGCCGGCAGAAGGACTTCGGGTCCGCGACAATTTGAGCGAGTCATGTCAATACGCAATGCAATGGAACTCTCCTTTTGTTGATCACAACCACCATCTACCAACCCCTGAACGGATATCGGACATAGTACTATTCATGGACGCACATGATTCAACTCGATCTTGTAACTCAATTGAGTCTACTTTGTGAGTGGGGGATGTAGTAGAAAGTTCCTGGCGTGCCGAGCATATAGTGCATCGATGCAAGAGTTGTCACACTCTTAGAAGGACCATGTTGCGAGTTGTGCTTGTTACGCAAGACTACGCCTCGGCTGCGCTGTAACCCTACTGGATCTTTGCGGTGACAAGAAGCGCCGAAAGACATTCTGTTGCTTGGCGCAATTCATTCCGTGAGTTCTTCTCAATGATGCGACCGCTACTATGTGAATCCGTTGAGTGCATGTCTGCTCTTCCATGACATTCTACTTGAGATCAAGTATATGTATTTGACTCCATCATCATCTGGAGGTAAACACCACAAAGCACAGCGTAGTTGTCACACGCATCCCTATTTGAAAACTATCTTGTTCCACTTCTTAGGCCTTCATACCAAACCCCCTAGATTGAAGATGGCTGTCACGTCTTCCAATGGTGCCTCGAGCTCAGTTGCACAGCCTGTTCCATCTTGGATCTTGCTAAGCAACCTGGCGGTCGCGTCTCTCGAAAAGTCACACCAGCACACTACCGCTTCAGGAGTAAGAGTCTACGGTCAGGGCACGGCACTGACTTCCGGCGCATACACCTGGCTCGATGGCGACGCTACCCCCAGAGACTTTCACGAGTGGGCTACTTCCATAGAAGTCAAAGCCGGTCTCGTTCGGTTTCAAACGGCAGCCATGAACAACCCACCTCTGTATGCCGTACAAAACACGACGTCCCGGGCATGGGCTGTCGGCAGCAACCCGTTCATTCTGAATGTTGCGCGCTCGCAGTGGGGGATGCCCATTGGCTTCGTCGATCCCACTGTGATCAACCGCGACAGCACTACGAGTTTTCAAGGAGTATCTCAATTGCCTCCGCATACCTATTTCGAACTCAAGAAAGATGGAAACGGCTGGCTTTTGAGCACTCAAGAGCGCAGAGACCCTCTGTTCTCAGCCCTGAGCCCCAGGATCACGGACTACGACGAAGCAGGTTCCGCTTTTGTCTCCGCCGTGCAGAAGGCAGTCTCTGAGATTACCGAGTCCGACAAAGAAGTTGCCTCTCTCCTCTCTGGAGGGATCGACTCGGGCGCGGTCACTACCTTTGCTGTTCGTGCCGGCCTCAAGGTGACGGCCTACAGTGCCGGGTCACCTTGGGGAAATGAGCACGAAGAAGCCCAGGAACTGGCGGATTTTCTGGGTATTCCACTCGTCCGCCTTGAGCTATCAGCGAAGGATCTCCTCAATGCGGTTCCCGAGACCATGCGAGCCTTGGGTACCGCAGAGAGAGAGCGAGTAGACATCCAGATTACTTTGACGGCCTTGATGCGCAGCGGTCTCATCAAGGAGAAGCACATTCTCACAGGCTACGGCAATGATCTCATGCTGATTGGTTTGCCACCCGACTCTACCGACGCCGACGTGTTGATCCGAGACATCATAACCGAAGTTGACCTTGCGCGTCACAGCGGCGAGTTCCAGGATTTTGTCGCCGGAACATGGGGAAAGAAGCTTTCTCATGTGTACTGGCATCCGGACGTGGTTCAGACAGCCCTTGATATTCACCCGTCTTGCAAGGTTCATGGTGGCCGTGAGAAGGCGTTCTTCAGAGCTGCGATGGAGCAGTTTATACCAAAGACTGCTGCTTGGCGCAAGAAGATCGGTATTCATGTCGGAGGTGGCATGCAGCGTGGCCTGGACGCTTTGTTTGGGGGACTGAATGGGAAGGTTGAAGTTTATAACAGAATCTTCCGCGCACTTTCTGATCAGACTCTGGACGATCCGTTTGGGTCCATCGACCATCTTGCTCCTAGATCGGAAGAACCCGGAAAATGAGTCTAGATAGATCAAAGACTTATATTCACTTAGAGATGATAGGATAGCAAACTAGAAGATTGTGCAATGATTAAGATGCTTGAAATTCCGAGCTTCCATGTTTTGTTAGTCTGTTCCATACTCTCATTCCAGTAGGGGGGCCTGAATTCTGCCCGTTGAGACTCAGAGTTTCGGGGAAATAAAATGGCAACAGCGCCAAGACCGCTGCGTTTATGGCTGGCCGGTCTATTCAGAAATTGTTTATTTAGCCTGTTCATAATTCGAGATATTCTTTCACTTGGCAAAGTCTGCCCTTGGTGAACAGCGCCACTCTTGAGATGGAAACCTGCGAGCCTAGTTGAGGTTGGGTATCGTCAACTTGTGTGTTGGACCTCAAAGTAGCGTCTCGGCGGCCGAAAAGCAAAATAAATTGTGCAAACAGATCGACATATTCTCTGATCTGTTCTTAAGTCTAGGCAATATCTTAGAGTTTGGGCAAGGCTTGTAAAACATCCCACGCGGGCCGTGATGATGGGGGCATCTGCCAAGACGGCTTGAGTGGGCAGTTCCGCAATGATGGAGTCACCCGCAGAAACCACGGATGACTCCGAAAGTTAAATCGAAGAGCCTTTCTAATTGAACATAGGAACTAGTAGTCAAGTTAAGGTTATCGACTTCCTCCGATATCATTACCAAGCGGCTGGTCTATGAGCGATAGTTCATCTCTGGAATAGGTACTTTTACCTGGGATTAGAGCTATCAACAACAAGGCACGGCCGACCGTTGCAGTGCAGTATTTATTCATGGGAATATACGACGAATCAGAGGTGTAATTCTTTGATTTTAGTTAGCTTCGCTTATTATTCATGAATCCATACGTTACGATAACACTAGACATGAAATCCTTTGATAAATTCTTCTAGCTAAACGGATATAGAACTCCTGGCCTAATAGTAAAATAATTTTCTGTTAATATTATTATTTCTTCTCTAAGATTTATGATAGTGATAATTTCTATTGTTATTATCGCCGTCGTCGTCATCTATGTTAGTTTAGTCACCCCTCATATTAACCCCGTAAACCCATCGTCACCCCATTTGTCGTTTGTGCCTTTTACCCGCCCGAATAGCAAAACTCTTCAGGAACGGAGTCAATCTCGCCAAAAATGACTCCATGTATACGCTAAGAATGCGCTGTCCGTTTGTGTAAGGATATAAGCCTAACACGATTGTTAAACACATAAGTACTCCACCTCAACTTCAACTTAACACCGCGAAGTTTGCAACTAGGTAGGGAAGTAACTATGGAGATTCATATTGTAAAAACGGTCAATTTGCACCCTTAAAATCATCGGGCAAGTACTTCTACCCTTTGAGAAGGTTGAGATAGCTTCAGTCGACTAAGATCTAATAGAGACTGTGTCACTCGAATATTTCCTCTCTTGGCGCTCTGGATAAGTCGCCCGGCAATTAAGGTCTCCACATTCCCGGTCAGAACATCGATTTGAAAGCCCGTAACACGCACAGCAATTGCGCCGAAGGATTGGCTTACGGCCGAAGAAACCACTCAGCTTGCCCCTTGGTGGGGTGGCAGCTGCAGAAGCGATGTCAGAGAAATGGTGTTTGCGTCGGGTGACGCGGCGGCTACAAGACGGGGCCGAACCTGCAGCCAGTGAGAGAGACACGGTCCCGAACCCCGCGTGTCGTTCGGTGTCTGCGGCGTTGAGCGGTTTGGATATAGTAGGGACTGCAGATGAGACGATGGTCTGTGGCAGGGTGAGTACGGATCCGCTGAGGCGTTATGTGGCTGGTGTCCAGCGACATGTTGTGTCACCTGCTCAACGCCGGACACGAAAATTGAGATCGGAGAGATCTTTTCATCAGTTCGCGGGTTGAATTTCTCTTGAAAACATGAAGATGTGCAATGAGCGACATGATGGACAGAAAAAGCTTCTTTGGAGCTAAGCTTTTGGCAGTCAGTGCTCTTCCTTGACAGTTAATAACGACGGCTTGGCCTTGGCCGTCTTGGCGAGAGGACCTCAACAACGACACCTTCACCCAATAACTCTCATCCCGCCAGTGAGTCTTGTAAAAACATGTATCGATAATAAAATCCTGCCGATCTGAAGGGAAAAAAGAAAGGTGTTGTCTATTGAAGACGTTGGTTATGATTTGTCTAATTGGACGCTAGTGTTCATCTGCACACGCCCACCATCAACTATTTGGGTCAACATCGAAATGGAATTCGTTGTGATCTAAACATTCTTATTTCTGTTCAATCGTGATCAGAAGTCCACTGGATTATTTCACTGTCAAGTCTCAACTCCCGCCCTGTCCGAAGACCGAACCCACCATATTGCTGAAAACCCGCGGGCTGTATCTTCCGGCTACTCATTGCCGACCGCCGAAAAACAACGGAAATCCCCCATGGCGTCATTCACCCCTTAGTACTCGGCCGATATGATCGGCCGGCAGCCGATTTGCGCGGATCAGAAAATCCTTTACCGGGGGCGGCGAGCATTTCCATTTATTTGTTCAAGAAGGATCCATCTTCATCCCATGAATTTTAAAGGCCTTTCATCTCCCACACTCTCCGTCGCATAAACCGCTGGAGCCTGCCCTCCTCCCCATGATTCATCCCTTCCCCTCCTTCCCGATTTTCCT